CTGGTCTCCGTGCTGACAGGCTGACCACAGCAAGACCAATGTAGGGCTCAAACTCATGAACTGCGAGATGAGGATCTGAGCCAAAGTCCAACACTCAGCTGCTCAGCCAGTTGAGCCACCCAGGCTCCCCTTGCCTATTTTTTAATTGGATTGTTCATCTCACTGTTTTGTTGTGAAAGTGCTACATGTTTTCTTAGTACTTTAACAGATACATAATTTGCAAACATTTTCCCCAGTCTGTAGCTTGACTTTAGGGTTTGTCAAGGAGAACTTCCTGATTTTGTTGAAACTCAATTTATTCTTTTGTAGGATTGTGCTTTTGGTGTTGTATCTAAAGTGCCTAGGGGCGCCTGGGTGGTGCAGTCGGTTAAGCGTCCGACTTCAGCCAGGTCACGATCTCGCGGTCTGGGAGTTCGAGCCCCGCGTCAGGCTCTGGGCTGATGGCTCAGAGCCTGGAGCCTGTTTCCGATTCTGTGTCTCCCTCTCTCTCTGCCCCTCCCCCGTTCATGCTCTCTCTCTGTCCCAAAGATAAATAAACGTTGAAAAAAAAATTTTTTTTTTAAAATTAAAAAAAAAAGTGCCTAACCCATCATGTATGAACCTCTCAACTAAAAGCCATTTAACCCCACAGAGGACATTTGGTACTGTCTGGAGACTGTCACAATTGTGTGTGGAGGGTACTCCTGGTACCTGGTGGGTAGAGGTCAGCCAAGGATGCTCTTAAACGTTTACAGTGCACAGGGCAAACACCCACAACAAAGAATTATTTGACCCAAAATGTCACTAATGCTGTGGTTTACAAATTCTGGCCCCACGGTCACAAAGATATATTTAGTTCTGTGATTTTTGATTTCTGTCTTTATATTTAGTTCTGTGATTTTTGTGTATTGTGTGAGGTAAGATAAGGGTCTAAGTTTATATATGTGTACCTACACACATCTTCCACCTGAGATTGGGAACAAAGTAAAAATGCCAGTTCTTGCCACTTCTGTTCAACATTGTACTGAAGTTTCTAGTCAGTGCAATGAAAATTAAAGGTATCCAGCTTAGAAAGAAAAAAGTACAGCTGTTTTTATTTGAGTCAAATAAAAGTATATGACTACTCAGTTACCCCAGCACCATGGGTTGAAGAGACTTTCTTTCCCCATTGAATTGTCTTGGTACTTTTGTCAGAAATAATTGACCATAAATATAAGGATTTAGTTCTTACTCTCAACTCTGTTCCATTGATCTGCATGCCTGTCCTTAGGGTAATACTACACTGCCTTAATCATTGTCGTTTTATGCATAAGTGCAGGTAATAGAAGTCCTCCAACTTTGTTCTTGGTTTTCAGAGTCATTTTGGCTATTCCAGGCACTTTACATTTCCATATGAATTTTAGAACCATCTTACCAATTTCTATAAAAACTTTGCTGGAACTTTGATGAGGATTTTGTTGTATATACATATCAATTTGGGTAGAATTAGTGTCTTAACAATTGAGGTTTCCAATCTGTAAAAATGGAATGATTCTCAGTTTATTTAGGTCTTTTATTTTTCTCAGTAAAATTTTATAGTTTTCAGTGTCAAATATTGCCCTTCTTTTGTTAAGTTTATTTTTTAGTACTCTTCTTGATGTTACTATGAATAGAATTGTTTTTTAATCTTAATTTTTGTATTTTTTTTGCTAATGTATAAAAATACAATTTATTTTTGTATATTGATATATCCCGAGACCTTGCTAACTCTAGTAGTTTTATTATAGATTCCTTAGGATTTTCTATATAGATAATCATCCTCAGATAAAAACATTTTTCTCTTCTTCCTTTTCAGTCTGAATTTAATTTTTTTTTAATGTTTATTTATTTTTGAGAGAGATAGAATGCGAATGGGTTAGGGGCAGAGAGAGAGAGGGAGACACAGAATCCAAAGCAGGCTCCAGGCCCCGAGCTGTCAGCACAGAGCCCGACGCAGGGCTCGAACTCACGAGCTGTGAGATCATGACCTGAGCCGAACCGACTGAGCCACCCAGGCATCCCTGAATTTAATTTTTTATTTTAATTTTTGATCGCACTGGCTGGAAACTTCTGTGCAGCATTGAAAAGAAGTCACAAGAGCTGCTGTTCTCACCTTATTTTCCTTCTTGGATGGGAAGCATTCAGTCTTTAATTGTTTTATGATGTTAGCTGTAGGTTCTTCATAGGTGCCTTTTATTAGGTGGAAGATGTTCTCTTATGTTCCTCATGTATTGAAAGTTTTTTTCATGAATAGGGTGTTAGATTTTGTTAAATCCTTTTTCTGTGTCTATTGAAATGGTTATTTTTTGTCCTTTATTTTTTAATGTTTATTTAGTTTTTGGGGGGGGGGGGCCCCCTCCCTACGAGGGGTGGGGGGGTGGAGTGTAAAGGATCCCAGTCAGGCTGTGTGTTGACAGCCTGATATAGGGCTTGAGCTCATGAACCATGAGATCATGACCTGAGCCGAAGTCGGATGCTTCACCAACTGAGCCACCCAGGCACTCCTTGTCCTTTATTCTATTAGTGTGATATATTACATTGCTTGATTTTTGGATGTTAAACTTTGCATTCCTGGGAATAAATCCCTCTTGGTCATCATGTATGAGCCTTTTTATGTATAAGTTTCTGGATTAAGTTTGCTAATATTTTGTTGAAGATTTTTATTCATGTTCATTAGTGATATTAATCTGTGGTTTTCTTGTGATGTCTTTGTCTGGCTTTGGTGTTAGAGTAGTGCTGGCCTCATAGAATGAGTTGGGAAGTTTCTTTCCTCAGTTTTTTTGAGGGAGTTTGTGAAGGATTGATATTTCTTTTTTAAATATTTGATAAATTTTTCCAGCAAAGCCAGCTGGGCCTAGGATTTTCTTTGTCCAAAAAATAATAATTCGATTTATTTACTTGTAAGTCTATTTATATTTTCTATTTCCTCATGATTCAGTTTTGGAAATTTATTTCTAGGAGTTTGTCCATTTTTTCCTAAGTTATTCAATTTATTGGTATAAAGTTGTTCCCAATAGTTGTTCATAATATTCCCCTTATAGTCCTTTTAATGCCTGCAGGGTCAGTAGTGAGGTCTCTTCATTCCTGAATTAGGCAATTTGTGTCTTCTCTTACTTTCTTGATCAGTTTAGATAAGGGTTTGCCAATTTTACTGATCTTTTCAAATAGCCACTTTTTGGTTTCATTGATTTTTTTTTTCTGTTTTTTTTCCCCCCTGCTTTCTTGGGGTTTAGTTTGCCTTTCCTCGTTTAGTTTCTGAAGGTAGAAGCTTAGATTATTGACTTGAGACCTTTTTCTGATTACAAGCTATAGATATCCCTCTAACACTTCTTTAGTTACAGTCTATAAATTTTGATATATTGTGTTTTCATGTTCATTCATTCAAAATATTTGTAAAGTTTTCTTTATGATTTCATCTTTGACCCCAAGCTATTTAGAAATCTATTGTTTAACTTCTAAATGTGTTGGTTTTCCCAGATACCTGTCCATTTGAGATCTTTGACTTAACTCTCTGTGGTCATAGAACACCCTTTTAATGATTTCAGTCTTCTTAAATTTATTGAGACTTGTTTTGTGGTCCAACATGTGGAGAAATGTCTACGTGTGCTTTGAATTCTGCACTCATTGTATGGAGTACTCTATAAATCTCAATTATATCATGTTTGTTAGTAGTGTTGTTAAAATCGTCTATATCCTTGTTGGTTTTCTTTGTAGGTCTATCAGTTATTGAAAGTGGAGTATTGAAATCTCTGAATTTCAAATATTACTGAATTGCCTGTTTCCCCTTTCAGCTTTCCATTTTCCCTTCATTTTATTAGGTGTATATACATTTATAATCGTTATATCTTCATGATGCACTGTTGCTTTTGTGGTTATAAAATGTCCTTCATCATCTCCAATAACATTTCTTATCTTAAAGTCTATTTTGTGTGATACTAATATAGCAGTTCCACTGTCTTATGGTTACTGTGTACATGGCCTATCATTTTCTATTCGATTACTAGTAACCTATGTATTTTTTTTTTTTATGTTTGTTTATTTTTGGGAAAGAGAGACAGAGCATGAGCAGGGGAGGGGCAGAGAGAGAGAGAGAGAATCTGAAGCAGGCTGTCAGCACAGAGCCTGACACAGGGCTCGAACTCACAAGCTGTGAGATCATGACCTGAGACACAGTCGGACGCTTAACCAACCTAGCCACGCAGGCGCCCCACTTGTAACCTGTTTGTGTCTTCCTATCTAAAGTGTGTCTTTTGCATGCAGCGTACAGTTGGACCTTGCTTTTTAATCTAGTCTGACTATCCCTGCCTTTTGAGTAGGTTATTTAGTCTACTCATATCTGATCTAATTATTGATCTGGTTGGTTTTAAGTCTCTCATTTTTCTACTTGTTTTGTATTAGTCTCATGTCACTTTTGTCCCTGTGTTCCTCCTTTACTCCTTTATGTTAAATAACTATATTTTAATGTACCATTTTAATTTATCTCTGGTGTTCTTAATTATCTGATTTTGAGTTGTTTTCTTGGTGGTTGTTGTAGGGATTACAGTATGCATCTTAATTTATCATAGACTGCTTCAGAATAATGCTAACTTTAATTCCAGCAAAATATAGAAACTTGCTCCAATATACCTCCTTTTTCCCTTTGCTTGTGTTATTGTGTATATATTTTATGTCTGTATATGTTATAAACCCATCAATACAGTATTATAATTTTTGCTTTATATAATCTTACATTTTTTATAAAATTTAAGAGAAGAAATGGAAAAAAAATACAGATTTATTCATCATTTCTAGTGCTCTTTGTTTCTTAATGTGGATTCAGATTACTCTCTGATACCATTTCCATTCAGTCTGAAGGACTAGATTCCTTTAGTGTATTTTATAAGGCAAGCCTGATAACAAATTTTCTTTTTTGTTTATCTCAGAGTGTTTTTATTTCACTTTATTTTTAAAAGATGGTTTTACAGGATAAAGAATTTTTAATTGCCAAGCTTTTTTACTTCCAGCACTTTTCATACATCATTCCACTGCCTTCTGGCCTCCATTGTTTCTGGTGAGAAATCAACCATTAATTTGATTGTAGTTTCTTTGTACAAGAGTCATTTTCTCTATTTCTAGTATTTTTCTTTGCCTTTAATAGTTTATCTGTGATGTGTCTAGGTGTTTTGTTTTTGTCCTACATGTTGTTTCATTGAGGAGCTTGGCTATAAGTTAATGTTTTTCATCAAATTTAGGAAGTTTTTGGTCAGTATATCTTAAAGTATTTTTTTTTTCTGCCCTATTGCTTTTTCTCACCTTCTGGGGCTCTTATTATACATATATTAGTACACATATATTGTCTCATAGGTCTGTGAGGCTCAGTTTATTTTTCTTTGGTTTTTTACTGTGTTCTTCAGATTCTATAATTTTTACTGATCTGTTTTCAAATTCATGGATTCCTTTACTGCTATCTCAAATCTACTGTTGAGCCTCTCTAGTGAAATTTTCATTGCAGTTATTGTACCTTTTATCTCCAGAAAAGTTCTAAACTTTTACTGAGATTCTGTAGTCAGTCATTTAATTCTTTATACATGCTTTCTTTAGTTCTTTGAGTGTGTTTATTATAACAGCTTGTTTGAAATCTTTGCTAAAGACAAGATCTAAAGACATTTGGAGACAGTTTCCATTGACTTCTTTTTTATAGATCACATTTTCTTGTTTCTTGCATGACTCAACTTTCTGTTGCATACTGGACATTTTAGATAATATACTGTAGCAACTATAGTTTATGATTTTCCCTGCTCTATTGGTCATGTTGGCTGTTTGTTTTATAACTTGCGTGGACTAACCCTTTGAAGTCTGTATTCCTCACAGTGTGCAGTTGCTGCTGTCTCTACTCAATTTTTTCCTTTTTTTTATTTGTAAACCTGGCTTTTGAGGGGTTGGTTGCCCTGTATCTGCATAGCTTAGTGATCAGCCAAAGCTTAATCAGAAGTTATACTAAAACACCTTGAGCCAGTAAGGCTTCTAATCTCTTTTGATGGATCTGTGTGTGAGCTGGGAAGCACAATCAAACTTCATCCTGCCCTGGCTTTTACGTCCCGTTGGTCCTTCTCATGTCTCACCTGCACATGCCTGCAGGCTCCACTAGCCAGGGATACATGGGCCTTCTCTGTCTCTGCAGTAGTGCACATAGCCTCTGGTTAATTCCCAAAAAGTGGGGTCAGGTCTCCTCTGGCCTTCTTACCTGCTGGAAGTCTCTGTCAAATCCTAGGCTAGTCCATTAGCTTGGTGCTTGCCACAGACATCACCACTGCAGTTGCTCCAAATCGGGTAATCCTCTATGGCAGAGGTGATAGAGCTTCCTGTTTTTACAGCCTGCCCTACCCTGAGTGAACTACTGCACTGACAAAGCCAGAGGTGGAGGTGGGAGCAGCCCCTGGCAAAGACATGGTGGACTCTCACTGTTTCTCCCTGAAGTCCCATAATTTTCAGGAAGTGCATGCCTTTGAATTGCAGAGTGCTAAAATTATTGCTTTTGACTGTTTGTTCAGCTTTATAGTTGCTTTTTGAGGGAGGATTTGTTAACCACCTCATTCCATTATAATATAGTCAGAAGTCTCTATACATTTTTTTTTTCAACGTTTATTTATTTTTGGGACAGAGAGAGACAGAGCATGAATGGGCGAGGGGCAGAGAGAGAGGGAGACACAGAATTGGAAACAGGCTCCAGGCTCTGAGCCATCAGCCCAGAGCCCTACGCGGGACTCGAACTCACGGACCGCGAGATCGTGACCTGGCTGAAGTCGGACGCTTAACCGACTGCGCCACCCAGGCGCCCCTGTACATTTTAAAGCACTAGTGGGATGCCTGTGTGGCTCAGTTGGTTGGGCTCAGGTCATGGTCTTGTGGCTCACGGGTTTGAGACCCACATCTGGCTCTGTGCTGACAGCTCAGAGCCTGGAGCCTGATTTGGATTCTGTGTCTTCCTGTCTCTTTGCCCCTCCCCCTACTTTCCTCTCTCTCTCTCTCTCTCTCTCTCTCTCTCTCTCTCTGTCTCTCTTTCAAATAAAAACATTAAAAAAATTTTTTTAAAAGCACTAGTGATCTTATGTTTTATGTTGGTACTATATATAAATAATGTCTCATTCATTAGCCTTTGGGTAGATAATTTGTTACTCAAGTGAAATAATACTTTAGAGAAAAGATGTTGGTGGGGTCAAGGAGAAAATATCAACCCTAAAAGTTTTCTTTGAAACACAGATTGAAAATGAAATGAATCAAAGATCATCAATTAGTTCAGAGCCCTTTCCTCTTTAGTTTGTGGCAGCATGTTGCCTGTTAAAGCTCAAGAATCCTTTGTTAAATTAATTCTGTACCTGTGTGAAATAGCCATAAAATGTTCTTACAATGCAGGGTGGTAGTTTATTTATTTTATAGATTTAGAAATTTATTAGCACCCAGTGTTTATCTTCAGTATTTAAAATTATTCAAGAAATATCAAAGGAATCTAAATTTATTAGTAAAAGGTTTAATATCATTTGTCAAATTGTATGTTTATTTTTTTCAATGAGAACATTCTTTAAAATGTGAAGCATTGCTTTATTTTAAATTCTGATTTTTTTCATGGTGAAGGTTTTCATATAGGATTTGGGTATTTATCGTGTATCATGAATATTGTAATATATGTAAATCATAGCATTAAATGCAAAATACTTTGGCATTGCAGTTTTTGCAACTAAAAATAAGTTGTCTTCTATCTAAATCAATTTCTCTTTATCTCTAACATTTGAAATTAAATGTTCGTGTACCATAAAATGTTGTTCCAATTAGACTTTGTTAAAGGAAATACTGCCCAGTATGTAAATTCAGATTTAGCAGATTATGTCCAATTTTATAATGTTGGAGATATCACTATACATAGAGTCAAAACAAAACAGTATTAACAGAACTTTTCAGCCTGTAGGCATCCCTTTGTGAAAACACAGACCACTCTCTCTTTCACAATGTTGAGGAAACAAAAGTGTGTTGAGTATGAGAAATGAAGACCATTTGGTAACTTTTCTTTTTTTTTCACGTTCACTGAAAATTTATTTTGTGGGAGGGCTGTCCTTCAAAGGCACCAAATGTGTCTTAATGGGATTGGAAAAGGGAACCCCAACCTCATGTAACATTTTTTTTTTCCTAATTCAGTATATTATTACAACAAGTCTCTAGCCATCAGTGGACAGCAGCTTTGGCTGAAGTCCTAAAGGGGCCAAAACCCTCACACATAACTCAGGTGCCACGTCACCACCACCAGTTGCTTTCATACTTGGTGTCCCCAGTCATGTAGATGGGAGAGGAGAGGTATAGGGCCTCTGAATGCAGCAAACTGCCAAAAGAAACAGCCTCTGGGAAAAGTCTAGGTGGAATGAGGGCACAACCTCACAAACACCTGCATGCCAAGAGAGCCCGTGTATGCTCTCCCAAGTGTGTGTATGGCTATGTAGCATGTGTGAATTTATCACCCAGGTTTTCGTATGTGGCTCCATTCAGCTGGTGGGGTGGGTCAACTGAACTGGAAGAACTGAGATGGCCTCACTCACATGTCTGGCAGCTTGCCAGCCTCCTGGCAGGGACAGATTATTTCTCTTTTGTGTGGCCTTGCATCCTTCAATAAGTTCAGTCCATTTGGTAACTTTTCAATTGAAGGCAAAGCCAAAATGAGCAACACTGTCCTCTTAACGATCATGATTCCCAAATTCATCGATTGTCCAGACTACTTTTTTTTTTAATTTATTTTTTAGAGAGAGAGAGCACATGAATGGGTGGGAGGTGCAGAGGATTCAAAGTGGGCTCCATGCTGACAGCAGAGAGCCCAATGTGGGGCTCAAACTTGAGAACCATGAGATCATGACTCAAACATATGTCAGACGCTTAACTGACTGAGCCACCTAGGTGCCCCCAGACCACTTTTTGTTTGTTTTCAGTACAGAGCCTTTACTGTACCAGAGGGATACTAAAGGCAGGCCTGTCTCGTGGACTATGCCTCCAGTGGCCCTAATTCTTTGTAAAATTGATCCTGAGCCAACTTATATTTGGTCACTGATTCTCAAACATTCCTTTCCATCTTTTTTGGTGGTCTTCTACTTTCACTGCCCTAGGCCCCAGATTTTTAATGAGATGCTACCGTTACTGAGCACTTATTCAGAGTTTCATACGTAGTAGGTGTGAAAGCTAGAGAAGAGAGCAAGAGAAGATGCATGAGGCAGAGGAGGTCAGTTCTTCCCCTTCTATACAGGTGACTCTTGAACAGCACGGGTTTGAACTGCTCAGATTCATTTATAAGTGGACTTTTTTCAATACGGTACTGTCAGTGTACTTTCTCTTACTTATGATTTTCTTATTAACATTTTCTTTTCTCTAGCTTACTTTATTGTAAGAATACAGTATATAATACATATAATATACAAAATATGTGTTAAATTGACTATTTATTGGTAAGGCTTCCAGGCAACAGTAGACTATTAAGTTTTGGGGGAGTCAGAGTTTTACATAGACTTTTTTTATACATAGATTTTTTTTTTTTTTTTTTTTTTTTTTGGAGAGAGAGAGAGCAGGGGCGAGAGGCAGAGGGAGAGAAAGAGGTCTTAGGCAGGCTGCATGCTTAGCATGGAGCCCAACATGGGGCTCAATCCCGTGGCTCTGGGATCATGACCTGAGCCAAAATCAAGAGTTAGGACGTTCAAGTCAAGAGTTGGACTGAGCCAGCCAGGCCTCCTTATACATAGATTTTTAATAATGCAAGGAGTCAGCATCCCTAATACCTATGTTGTTCAAGGGTCAGCTATATTACATTGATCTGACATTTGTTTGCCATCTCAATTATTTGGTTCTCAACCTAACATTTTAGAAATCTCTAGTATGATAAACCTTCAGTATTTTTGATATCTTTGGGAAGTGTGATATTTGAGATTGGTTTTATAACTGTTTTTGCCACAGAATTCATATACAGAGGACAAAACCACATTGTTTTAATCCTTCGAGGCCATTGGATATGTTACACTTGGACTGGATGGCTTGCTCCTGAAC